TCCAGACAGCAATACTCATTTACTCTCAGGGTGTAGTTCTCTTTAAACAGTGAGTTGTTCTTAAAGTAAATAAAAGTTAAGTTCCATCCCACTGGCCTGAACATAAATGTGTAAAAATAAGTCAAATGCTTGCACAAAACCCCTCTATTGTAAATAAGACATCACAACACAGACAGCTGCCTATTTCGTCTTAATACGTACCTAACATATGTCACTATTAATTGTACTGTCTAGTCTACAACTAGCTTAGTTATACACATTTGATGAAGTCTATTCTATACAGAGATGAAGCTAAACTAACATACGTGTGTTAACACATAAACTGTTTGCAGCATCACTTACATACATTGTACGATCATGGCCTTTTTCTTCACAGCATAGCTGTAAAGGTCTAATCCCGATAGATACTGTGTGTTTTCATTGAAGTCTTAAAATTACTGAACCTGACATCAGTAAAGGCTACATAAGTTAAACTTTGAAAAAGCTAACGAACAAAACACTATTTAATGAAATATCAACTTCCACCGCAATTTTCTGTCAAATGAGTGCTGTTGTCTAAGACAACAAGAATTCTCCAAGAATACTCCAGACTCAGACAAAAACAGGAAAATGTACTGCAGGGCTATGGCCAAAGTCCTGCAAATGCCTGAGTTTTTCTCAGGCTCAAAAATAAACTCCCAATTGCGTTATGTCCCCCAGGATCTACAATGGGTACGGACTACTGTTAAAGACTGCTGCCCTTTGACATAAACTTTCCCAAAAAGACAACTGGTTTCCCATCTCTACACACTAACAGGGTGAGGGGGAACAGGCTGTATATAAAAAACATCTATACACATAAACAGCCAGAAATTCAACATATTCAGTTATGATTCCTATGCCCTTGCACCTGGCAACCAGGTACTCCACTTACAAATTAAATCAGAGTTGCTCAATAGCTGGCAAAAGCCTGGTATTTTCTGCGCCCCCCCCCCAACACTCTGGACAGAAAGCAACAAATCAGACTGTTGGCATGTAGTAAAACCACATAAAAAGAAGTGGCAGATATAACAAGAAATTAAATATCCTACTAAAAAACTGTCACAATTATGAAGTTGTATTTAAGACAATGGTTAAGCATGTTTGTGAACATTAAAAATCCCAGTTATAGCACATGAAGGATAAATATTAACTCTTTCCTTTAATGTCTATTACCCTGTTCCTGTGTTTGGGTAACTGAAAGACTGAGAAACAAATTCACCAATGTAGAAGAAAAAAAAATAATCTGTAACTTACATTTACTAGGTAAAACTGAATTGCATCAGAGCAAACAGTAGGAACAAAAGATTACAAGGAGGAATTAAACAGACACTTAAGGCATAAAGAAGCAAAGGCATAAACTAACCCTGGAGTATGAAACTGTAGGAAGAGAGGTAACACAGAAACGCAGAACTGTGACACGAAAGCAAAGAGGAAGACAAGGAACTGAAAAGAGAGTATGAATGCTTAAGAAGCAGCAGAAACAAATGGAACAAACCAGAGAAATTACAGTATACCAGTAGCAGCACTTTTTGCAGGGCAAATAAAATCATATTTTAAGAATTAGGAAGTTCCAAAAGCTACTGAGACAGGCTCAGCCACTTGCCCTAACACACAGAGGGGTAAAAACACAAACTTCAAAAAGAGGAGGAAAACGAAGGAAATTGAATGACACCACATCTTTCTGATGCTGAAATAAAGTATCCAAAAACTTTTTATTTTGGAAGTTAAGATACTGGATGTCCACTGCTTTGTCTTTTTCCAGCCTCCAGCAAAATGTCATGATTTCAGATTTGGTTTCTAAAGGTGACAAACCCCTGCAATGATTTTTCCTACCTCAGGAAATACCATTTTGATTTCAGTGCACAGTCAGGAAACCAGGTCACCAGGAATTAAGATCACTGTTTGTCACACTTTGGTTTAACATATTACATGATCCAAAATTACTTGGAGGTTTCTGTACCTTAAAGACAAACCAATACTTGAAATCAAGTTCCTTTAGTCTAGCCAAGTGAGGAAATGATGGCAACAGGTAAAATACACTGTAAAATATAATTAGCTTTACATATACATGCTAATTTTGTCACACTGTTTTCTCCTTCTCACATATGTATCTGATGAGCAATGAAAGTGTAAAATGTGGTCTCCTTCCCAAATCTTTATTTTAAATTGAGTAATCTCAACAGCAAAATTTTAAAGTGCAATTCAGTTTGTAAAAAAAACCAAACCCAAACCAAACACCTTCAGTAATGGTACTACTGTTTTTCAACATGCTGGTAACAAAAACAATAAACCAGTAACAATAAAAATTGGTGTAACAGTGACCAGCGGCTATGCAAAGCAACAAGACAGAGGAATTATTTTTGCAGATGGAAAACAAGAAGGTAATCTTCAATACCAGAACTGAAAGATGACTTATCTAGGCAGTTAGATTTGGGTTTTTAAAGCAAAGGGCTAAGCCTTTCCAAAAGCTTGTAAAACGTGGATCCTGAAACAGAAGCGCTGCTGGCCAGAAAAGACCAATGCACTCCACCCAGTTCAAACTTCATTCAGATAACTCCTGTCTCTCTAATTACAAAGTCGTCCCCAAAGTTACATCAGATGTAACTTCAGGAAAACATGTTTTCCCAGATTTTCAAATACTGACATAGGGTACTATCCTTCAGAAACCCTCCTCTCAGAGTACATTTATGACAGTTTTCCTTACCTTTAAAAATAACAGAAACAATAGGATCTGGTTTCCCAAACTTGGTTTTGGGGATATTAGTAGCAGATTCCACAATCACCCGAAGCATTGTTTCCAGTCTTGACTAAAAGTCGATTGTTAACAAAGAAATTCAAGGAAGTCTTAAGCTTCAAACTCCTTAACTTCTGGACTGAAATGCTAGCAGGAAGAGCAGGCAGGGAATAGGTGGTTTACAGTAAAGAAGGTCTATGGGTGGATCTATGACGGACTAACTACTGAAGGCTATGAAAAAAAAAAAAGTACTTGTAAATTGACACCAAGTTCTGTTGCTGCACAAAAAGAGCTCTCGCTAGTGAAATTCAGTAACAGAAAGGGCACAGTGTAAAAACAAGTGCAGATTTTTTTGTTGCTTTTATTCTTAAGCTGCATAGTAAGTGTCTTGTAGGTAACCAAGGCAAGAATAAGCATAAGCAACATGAACATTAAGCACAACTCCAGTACTCAAGATACATCACATCTGCCTCTTGGTATATCAAGGCATTAAATTTCACGGTAGCTGAGATTTTTTTTCTCTTAATTTTAGAACTTCATTGTTTGTAAATGTTTTTTAGCTTGCCGCCGTGTCAGTCAATAATCACAAAATACCTACGGTCTTCAAAAATAGTTTAAGTGCTCCCCCTTCGGTTGTACTGGGGAACAACTACGTTTTACACAGAAGAAATACTACAGATTCTGCATTTAACATGCTGAATTTAGTAGATCTCTTGAGAAATTACTAAACATATATGCATAAGTAAAAATGAAAAAGATTTAAGGAAATACTTGCCAAAAGTGTGAGAAGACCCTCTATACTGTTTGGAGGCCTATAAATATTTTGTCTTAATGTAAATACATGCAGTAGACTCCACTAAAATGAAACTAGATAAAACTAACATGTTAAGTACAAGAACGTTTTGCTGTAAGCTATTCCGTGTTCAGCTTTACAGCAGTTTTTCTCAGCTGTGGACCAGATGTGAAAAACCAAGTGCTGTGCACTACGACTGCAAAATATGTTTTTAAGTAGAGATGAGAGGGGAAGCCAGCAAGATGGAGCAAAGTGAGTTGTACGTGGACAAAGTTCAGCCTAGTTTTTATACGGTCACATAAGAACTATCCTAGCTTACTACTTCTGAAGCCAAGATCGACCTTGCTTCCTTTCTAAAATGATTAGATTTTGGGTAGCTAAGGAACGGGATTTCTGGGGCAGAAAAAGTAATCTAAAGCCAACATGTTCAGCAAGGATAGACACACAAAATACAGCACTCAGCGAACACAGAAGACCTGGCCGAAGCATCATGGTAGATCGTTGCACCCTTGCCCATCCTGGTCCTGGAGAAGTCCCCCGGCTAGTGCACGGCCAGCACCACAGGCCAGGCCTGCAGCCCCAGGCAGCTGATAGCCACTTCCCTCTCCGCCTGAACCATGAGCGAACTAAAGCCTCATGCAGGGTGGGGAGAGCCACCCGCCGGGAACCAACAGGAGGCAGCGCTCATCTACCGCCGCCCTTCTCTTCTACAACTGCCATTTCATAACGAAATGGAAATCCCCTCTGATTCCCCAAGGGAAAATTAATTATGGCCCCGCAAAGTGGAAACAAACACGGCCGCAGCCCTCTCGGAAGGGCCCAGCCGCCCTGGCCGGGGTGAGGCAGCCGCTCACGAGCACGTGCGCTGGGGCAGAAAAGAGAGGTCGGGTGCAGAAAGGCCCCATGGCATTGGTCAGCCAGGTCACGCGGCCGGCCACGCCAGCCGATGGGGAGCCTCCTCTCACATTCCGCGGGGAACTCGGCACTGCTTCGCCGGCTCTTAGCGGCCTCCCAACGCCGGGCAATCCGTGCCCCTCCAGCGCCCTCTAGGCAGTGTCTTCGCGGAAGCGCTGTTCAACTGCTCCCCCTGTTTGTTTGACTCATCGGAGGCTCCGTAGTTCTCGCTTCGACTGTAAGGCGCCCGGGCGGAAGTGACGATGCTGCAGCCGCGAGATTCAAACTCCCGGAAGCGGCGCTGGGCTGGGCTGTGCTGGGCTCGGCGGC